TTACCCTATCTAAACAGATCAAGTATGTTACCCTATATAAACAGATCACGTATGTTACCCTATCTAAACAGATCACGTATGTCACGTATGTTACCCTATCTAAACAGATCACGTATATTACCCTATCTAAACAGATCAAATATGTTACCCTATATAAACAGATCACGTATGTTACCCTATCTTAACAGATCACGTATGTTACCCTATCTCAACAGATCACGTATGTTACCTTATCTAAACAGATCACGTATGTTACCCTATCTAAACAGATCACGTATGTTTCCCTATCTATAAACAGATCACGAATATTACCCTATCTAAACAGATCACGTATGTTAACCTATCTAAACAGATCACGTATGTTACCCTATCTAAACAGATCACGTATGTTACCCTATCAAAACAGATCAAGTATGTTACCCTATATAAACAGATCACGCATGTTACCCTATCTAAACAGATCACGTATGTCACGTATGTTACCCTATCTAAACAGATCACGTATGATACCCTATCTAAACATATCACGTATGTTAACCTATCTAAACAGATCACGTATGTCACGTATGTTACCCTATCTATACAGATCACGTATATTACCCTATCTAAACAGATCAAGTATGGTACCCTATATAAACAGATCACGTATGTTACCCTATCTAAACAGATCACGTCTGTTACCCTATCTAAACAGATCACGTATGTTACCCAATCTAAACAGATCATGCATGTTACCCAATCTAAACAGATCACGTATGTTACCCTATCTAAACAGATCAAGTATGTTACCCTATCTAAACAGATCACGTACATGGACACAACAATAATAACTCTATTACGGAATTTTTCATTACTTGAATAGGAAGCGTATTTGCATTCGAAAACATGTATGAATTTGAAACTTTTTGAGTTACCTCCCGTTGGACTGTCAGTAAGGTTTTCTACATGCTCACATGTTTTAGGTAAAGTCATAGATAAATATCTATTACAGACTTATAATTAAAACAAAAAACGAAAGCTCGAGTGTTTATCTTTGTGAGACATATCTTGTTTATATCTTGCTGTAAAAATGTATACAGCAAATAGCTATTTTTTCTGACTTAACCTATATACTTAGTTATAGTAAGAGTTACTGAGTAAACCCCTAGATACCACTGGTTAGCCCGTTGTCTCCTTATACACCACATGTTGGCCTGTTGGCCCCTTTGAAACCACTGGTAAGCCCGTTGTCTCATTAAACACACCATGTTGGCTTGTTGGCCCCTATGAAACTACTAGTAAGCCCGTTGTCTCCTTATACAAAACATGTTTGCCTGTTTGCCCCTTTGAAACCACTGGTAAACCCACTGTCTCCTTATACACCACATGTTTGCATGTTGGCCCCTTTGAAAGCACTCGTAAGCCCGTTGTCTCCTTATACACCACATGTTGGCCTGTTGGCCCATTTAAAACTACTAGTAAGCCCGTTGTCTCCTTATACACCACATGTTTGCCTGTTGGCCCATTTGAAACTACTAGTAAGCCCGTTGTCTCGTTATACACCACATGTTTGCCTGTTGGCCTATTTGAAACCACTGGTAAGCCCGTTGTCTCGTTATACACCACATGTTTGCCTGTTGGCCCATTTGAAACTACTAGTAAGCCCGTTGTCTCCTTATACACCACATGTTGGCCTGTTGGCCCCTTTGAAACCACTAGAAAGCCCGATGTCTCCTTATACACCACATGTTGGCCTGTTGGCCCATTTAAAACTACTAGTAAGCCCGTTGTCTCCTTATACACCACATGTTGGCCTGTTGGCCCCTTTACAACCACTGGTAAGCCCGTTGTCTCCTTATACACTAAATGTTGGCCTGTTGGCCCCTTTGAAACCACTAGTAAGCCCGATGTCTCCTTATACACCACATGTTGGCCTGTTGTCCCCTTTACAACCACTGGTAAGCCCGTTGTCTCTTTATACACCAAATGTTGACCTGTTGGCCCCTTTGAAACAACTGGTAAGCCCGTTGTCTCCTTATACACCACATGTTTGCCTGTTGATCCCTTTAAAACCAGTGGTAAGCCCGTTGTCTCATTATACACAACATGTTGGCCTGTTGGCCCCTTTGAAACCACTAGAAAGCCCGATGTCTCCTTATACACCACATGTTGGCCTGTTGGCCCCTTTACAACCACTGGTAAGCCCGTTGTCTCTTTATACACCAAATGTTGTCCTGTTGGCCCCTTTGAAACCACTGGTAAGTCCGTTGTCTCCTTATACACCACATGTTGGCCTGTTGGCCACGTTCAAACCACTGGTAAGCCCGATGTCTCCTTATACACCACATGTTGGCCTGTTGACCCCTTTACAACCACTGGTAAGCCCGTTGTCTCTTTATACACCAAATGTTGACCTGTTGGCCCCTTTGAAACCACTGGTAAGTCCGTTGTCTCCTTATACACCACATGTTGGCCTGTTGGCCCATTTAAAACTACTAGTAAGCCCGTTGTCTTCTTATACACCACATGTTTGCCTGTTGGCCCCTTTGAAACCAGTGGTAAGCCCGTTGTCTCCTTATACACACCATGTTGGCCTGTTGGCACCTTTGAAAACACTGGTAAGCCCGTTGTCTCCTTATACACCACATGTTTGCCTGTTGGCCTCTTTGAAACCACTGGTAAGCCCGTTGTCTCCTTAAAAACACTTATGTCTGGTTGGTCCATTATCTCTGATTGCACTTTTGGTTTAGACGATGTATCCTTAGACACCTTTGGTAAGCTCGATGTCTTCCTAGAAACCTCTGGTTAGCCTGTATACACCACATGTTGGCCTGTTGGCCCCTTTACAACCACTGGTAAGCCCGTTGTCTCTTTATACACCAAATGTTGTCCTGTTGGCCCCTTTGAAACCACTGGTAAGCCCGTTGTCTCCTTAAAAACACTTATGTCTGGTTGGTCCATTATCTCTGTTTGCACTTTTGGTTTATACGTTGTATCCTTAGACACCTTTGGTAAGCTCGATGTCTTCCTAGAAACCTCTGGTTAGCCTGTTGTCTCCTTAGACACCTCTGGTTAGCCTGTTGTCTCCTTAGACACCTCTGGTTAGCCTGTTGTCTCCTTAGACACCGCTGCTTAGCGTGTTGTCTCCGTAGACATCTCTGGTTAGCGTGTTGTCTCCTTAGACACCTCTAGTTAGCATGTTATCACTTTAGACACCTCTGGTTAGCCTGTTGCCTCATGAGACACCTCTGATTAGCCTGCTGTCTCCCTACAAACCTCTGGTTAGCTTAATTTCTACCTAGAATCCCCTGGTTAGACTGTTGCTTCTAAAATTCCTCTGTTTATCTGTTTATCCTGTTATCTCTGAGATACCTTTTGGTTCGCCCACTGTACTCATACGTACCTTTTATAAGTAGGTTGTCTCCTTAGGTACATCTGGGTAATATATATGACCCCTAGACACTCCTGATTAGCCCGTTTTTGCCGTAGACAACTCTTGTTAGCAATTTGACTCTCAAGGTACCCTTGGTTTAGGCCAGTGTCTCCCTGGGCACATTTGGTTGGCCCATTGTAACCTAAGGAACATCTTCTTTGCCCGGTGTTTCTCTTGACACATCTGGTTACCCTGTTGACTCTGAAGGTACCTCTGATTATCCCATTGTCCTTCTCGAATATAGCAAATTGTTGTATGTGATAAAATGTTATGCTATGATCATTTCAACTCTCTATCCATATCAGCCTTCGGGCTTTCGGTCCCCCGGGCTGATAGGGAGGTCTTTGATTACTTTGTAAATTGTTTAACTCTAAATACTTGTCTGTATGATACGGGTTGTTTTGCAGGCCATATCCCAGAACAACCCAGTTCTGCCCGGCTCGAGCCTTTTTTATCTTCTTCATTTGTACTTCCGGTTAAACACATGTTACACTCGATTTGTATTACTGCTAATCATTTTGATGGACTAAAATATACCTCTTGCATTCGTATGATTAAATGTTATGATATGTCATCAATATCCTACCCCTAATCGACCGCAAACCCCAACATCAGCCCCATAATAATTTCTAATATTTCATCGATGAAAATGTAATTACATAGCCTCATTACGCCCTGTTTTTATCGGATACTATACTGGCGTAATTGTATGGGGATACAGATCTGAGCAGGTTTCGATCCGCCGAGGTTTCGATCCTCTTAGAAAGTTTCGATTCTCTGGTTTTAATTACTCTAAATAACCTTATTGTATTTCGACTCTCTTTTATCAACTACGATTGTAACCGTTAAGCAACATTCATCACATTCAAACAAAACGGGATTTAGTTTGAGAAAATGCGGGAGAGGATTTCAAAACCACGTCTGGTAATGTATGATATAAAATCGATCTTTGGTATTCGAAATTCTTCAGTAAGATTACTTTTTATTATGTTGATCGACAGTTGTTAATAGATACGAAATAAGTGTCATATGTATTGGTAATTAACGACCCGTGTATAGGGAGAAATGTCTGGCTATCTCCACGATCCCAGTGGGACCGCTAATCTCACTCGACGCTCCTGTACACACGTTTACAACTCTCTTATTAAATATTTTTACAGCGATTCTTCCTTACTTTGTCAGGTAAACTGTCGTGAAGGTTTTTACTTTGTTCGTCTGGTAGGACACCATTCTACTTGGGGAGTGAAGCGTGACGTATCAAGCTCAGGACAGCGTGCTGATTAGGATGACATTTGATCGATCTGTCACCGTACATATATTTCCGAATAACGGGTGTGTCACATTCTATCCGATCTTACACCGTACATATGACGGGTGCGTCGGGATCACCACTTACAGGAGGAATATGTAGGCGCTAAAAGTAAGTATTGTTTTTATTTAAGATTCAGTTTTAATGTACCAAGTAGAAGTGACCAGTATGTAATGTTAGTGTGAATTCCTATGGAAAATCACATCTTAACGAAACAATGTGTACCTTATCGAATATCTCGTTTACAAGTAGTTAAAAAAGAGTCCACTGATTAACAAATAGCATATATCATAATATGAACACAATATAAGATATGACATAACTTATCAAGTATATAAGATATCTCCAAAAATATATAAGATATATCTTAAAGTATGTAAGATACCTCTTAAATTATTTCTCATAGAAGATAACTTTAAACGTCGAAATAACTACCAACGTAATTTGGTTACTTCTTCAATATTTGGCTAGCTCAATATTGGATTGGCCGAATGGGTAATTCGAAAATGTGCCCAGTGGGTATCTTTAGCCTGCGATCGTTGATGCCCTTTTGCACGTGAAAACCTTAGACGATGTCTTGTTTAGGTATAGGTTTTAAAAAGCGGCATAAGAGTTATAAGCTGTTTTTAGATTTGAATATCAAACTATATAGCCCAATATTTGGCCAATCCGTTAATGAGCTAGCCCAATGTTGAAAAAGTAACCAACTCCACGCTGGTGAGATATCTCTGTTACATATGTCATCCGTTTATTCCGTATCGTTTTTAGTATATATGAGATTATAAAATTTGTTTGAAAAGATACAGCATATTTACTATACAATATTCCACAGATATAGCCAGAGAGAATATTTAAAAACGTTCCTGTCTAACACTCCGCGGCATATTTCTGTTTAAGAAATATCTAAGTAATCTTATATTGTGTAATCTTATGTTGTACATGTATATTTTAATTTAATTAATACTGAAAAACAACACCGACTGTGACGTATATCAACCAGAGATCAGCTGTTAACGTCAGTTTTGTACAGAAATGTATGTCAGCTGTTACCGACAGTTTTTTACAGAAATGTATGTCAGCTGTTAACGTCAGTTTTGTACAGAAATGTATGTCAGCTGTTACCATCAGTTTTGTACAGAAATGTATGTCAGCTGTTACCATCAGTTTTGTACAGAAATGTATGTCAGCTGTTACCGTCAGTTTTGTACAGAAATGTATGTCAGCTGTTACCGTCAGTTTTGTACAGAAATGTATGTCAGCTGTTACCGTCAGTTTTGTACAGAAATGTATGTCAGCTGTTACCGTCAGTTTTGTACAGAAATGTATGTCAGCTGTTACCGTCAGTTTTGTACAGAAATGTATGTCAGCTGTTACCGTCAGTTTTGTACAGAAATGTATGTCAGCTGTTACCGTCAGTTTTGTACAGAAATGTATGTCAGCTGTTACCGTCAGTTTTGTACAGAAATGTATGTCAGCTGTTACCGTCAGTTTTGTACAGAAATGTATGTCAGCTGTTACCGTCAGTTTTGTACAGAAATGTATGTCAGCTGTTACCGTCAGTTTTGTACAGAAATGTATGTCAGCTGTTACCGTCAGTTTTGTACAGAAATGTATGTCAGCTGTTACCGTCAGTTTTGTACAGAAATGTATGTCAGCTGTTACCGTCAGTTTTGTACAGAAATGTATGTCAGCTGTTACCGTCAGTTTTGTACAGAAATGTATGTCAGCTGTTACCGTCAGTTTTGTACAGAAATGTATGTCAGCTGTTACCGTCAGTTTTGTACAGAAATGTATGTCAGCTGTCAACGTCAGTTTTGTACAGAAATGTATATCAGCTGTAAGGGAAAGCGACATTGTTACAATGAAAGCTCCCTGCCTTAATTTTGAATAATTTTTGGAACATTTATTCAGAAATGACAAAACAAACGTTTTAATATCAAAACTAGTCTCAGCTGATAGGTCGATCGATTAGTCTGAGATTGCTAGGTGATGTACAGTGTAATGGAATTTGAACGCTAGACATAGTTTGAGGAAATGTAACTTCGTTGCTAAGAGATCAGGGCTGAGATGTTTTAAGGTCAAGAATTTTCTTCGAGGTCCGGACCGACATATAATTTTACTTTGTTGTTTGGGGTCCGGAGTGACATCGGTTGTGATATTGCTACTTTGTTATTTGGGGTTCCGGAGTGACATCGGTTATGATATTGTTACTTCGTTGTTTAGAGGTCCGGACCGACATCGGTTGTGATATTGCTACTTTGTTGTTTGGGGTCCGGAGTGACATCGGTTGTGATATTGCTACTTTGTTATTTGGGGTTCCGGAGTGCCATCGGTTATGATAGTGTTACTTCGTTATTTTGAGGTCCGGGCCGACGTCGGTTGTGAAATTGTTACTTTGTTATTTGGGGTTCCGGAGTGACATCGGTTATGCTATTGTTACTTTGTTGTTTGGAGGTCCGGACCGACATAAATTGTGAGATTGTTACTTTGTTGTTTGGGGGTCCGGAGTGACATCGGTTGTGATATTGTTACTCCGTTGTTTGGAGGTCCGGGCCGACATCGGTTGCGATATTGTTACTTTGTTGTTTGGGGGTCCGGAGTGACATCCATTGTGAGATTGTTACTTCTTTGTTCGGAGGTCCGGACCGACATCGGTTGTGATATTGTTACTTCGTTGTTTGCGGGTCCGGAGTGACATCGGTTGTGATATTGTTACTTTGTTGTTTGGAGGTCCGGACCGACATCAATTGTGATATTGTTACTTTGTTGTATGGGGTTCCGGACTGACGTCGGTTGTGAGATTGTTGCTTTGTTGTTTAAGGGGCCGGACTGACATCGGTTGTGAGTTTGTTGCTTTTTTTTGTGGGCCGGAGTGACATCCGTTGTGAAATTGTTGTTTTGTTTTGTGGGCCGGAGTGACATCCGTTGTGAGATTGTTGTTTTGTTTTGTGGGCCGGAGTGACATCCGTTGTGAGATTGTTGTTTTGTTTTGTGGGCCGGAGTGACATCCGTTGTGAGATTGTTACTTCATTGTTTGGGGGTCAGGACCGACATCGGTTGTGAGATTGTTACTTCATTGTCTGGAGGTCCGGACCGACATCGGTTGTGAGATTGTTACTTTATTGTTTGGATGTCCGGAGTGACATCAATTGTGAGATTGTTACTTTGTTGTTTGGGGTTCCGGACTGACGTCGGTTGTGAGATTGTTGCTTTGTTGTTTAAGGGGCCGGACTGACATCGGTTGTGAGATTGTTGCTTTGTTTTGTGGGCCGGAGTGACATCCGTTGTAAGATTGTTACTTCATTGTTTGGAGATCCGGACCGACATCAGTTATGATATTGTTATTTTGTTGTTTGGATGTCCCTGCTCAGATTGGTTGTGAACGTGTTATATTGAGGTTGTGGAGGGCCCGGTCTGACATTCAGTTTATACAATGACAAGTTGAAGTAGGTTTGAGTGGAACTCGTAGAGCTAGCCTTACACATTTACTTCAACACGCTTCTACACTTAAATACAACTTAAAAGATACATGTACCAAGTACGTAATAATCCTAGTTTTATTAAAATCAAACATCGATTTTTGGCTAGACAGAATTGTATATAGAAGCCAATTGGTGTTATTCGGTATTACTTTGACACCTAGTAGAGAAATTGTCAACATTACGATAATATACCAACAATTAAATAGACGGGTAATAAATAGCAGAAGTAGAAACGTATTACTGGTGAAATAAGGTGCGACTTACGGGGTCTATTTAATCACAAAATCAACAAACATGTTTGATCAGGTAGTTCGGCCTAGATATAGATACTAAGGTATACACTCGATACACCACCGTAACTTAGAACGTCCATGTCATCGTTTAAAGTATTTTTGGAGACTTGTGTACTGTCGCTCCACGTCGCCAGTTGTCCTACAGGTAATGACTTTACATTAATGGTCTGAAACCCCAGGCCAAAGTCATTTCTTCATTTTAATCTTCTTTATTACACTTATATGTTAATAATGATAAAAAAAATCATACTGATATACCTCGTTTCAAATTAACGGATTTTTCATTGGATAGTGTTGTTTTCTGACAGTAGGGGATAAATAAATAAACAAATTACGTTCTAAACATGTTTTTATAATGTAAAATGTTGTTCATGTGTGAATAAAAAACAACGTGTAAACTTAGGAATGTAGGCTTTTAACTATATCTCCTTTTATGTTTGACTGATAAAGTTATACCAGTAATGTGTTTACGTTCAGTTATCGGCGATGTTGGCTTATTTTCATGTCCGGGTTTTAATATTATTTGTGCTTCAAGTTTTCTGAATTTCTAAGCACGACAAGGTCAGTGATAAATGGTCTGTGTGTACACAAATGATTTCTTGTTGGGACGCGTCCCAAATTAACAAATCGTGATATATACTAGAATAATTACATGTTTTTGAAAAACTTATTTGGCTGTAATGTTTTTTGTAAGTGTTTTAGCTGTAAACTGTGTTGTGTATGGTATCTGGCTGGTTTAAATGTGACATGATTTAATGGGTGGGAAGTGGCCTGTTCTAGCTCGAAAAACAGTGAAGTGGTCAGTTCTAGCTCGTAATACAGCGTAGTGGTCAGTTCTAGCTCGTAATACAGCGTAGTGGTCAGTTCTAGCTCGAAATAGAGAGTAGTGGTTATTTATAGCTTTAAATACAGAGCAGTGATCAGGTCTCGAAATATAGTAAAATGGTCAGTTCTAGCTCAAAACATAGTGTAGTGGTCAGTTAATTTCTAGCTCTAAATACAGAGCAGTCATCAGTTCTCGAAGTATAGCGAAGTGGTCAGTTCTAGCTCGAAATACAGCGTATACGTAGTGGTCAGTTCTAGCTCGAAATACAGCGTAGTGGTCAGTTCTAGCTCGAAATAGAGAGTAGTGGTAATTTCTAGCTCTAAATACAGAGCAGTGATCAGTTCTCGAAATATAGCGAAGTGGTCAGTTCTAGCTCAAAACATAGTGGAGTGGTCAGTTCTAGCTCAAAACATAGAGTAGTGGTTATTTCTAGCTCTAAATACAGAGCAGTGATCAGTTCTCGAAATATAGCGAAGTGGTCAGTTCTAGCTCAAAATACAGAGCAGTGATCAGGTCTCGAAATATAGCGAAGTGGTCAGTTCTAGCTCGAAATATAGCGTAGTGGTCAGCTCTAGCTCAAAATAGAGAGTAGTGGTCAGTTCTAGCTCTAAATACAGCGAAGGGGTCAGTTCTAGCTCGTAAAACAGCCTAGTGGTCAGTTCTAGCTCGAAATACAGCGAAGTGGTCAGTTCTAGCTCAAAATACAGAGCAGTGATCAGTTCCGAAATAAAGCGAAGTGGTCAGTTCTAGCTCAAATTACAGAGCAGTGACCAGTTCCGAAATATCGCGAAGTGGTCAGTTTTAGCTCAAAATACAGAGCAGTGACCAGTTGTCGAAATATAGCGAAGTGGTCTGTTCTAGCTCAAAACATAGCGTAGTGGTCAGTTCTAGCTCGAAACATAGCGAAGTGGTCAGTTCTAGCTCAAAATACAGAGCAGTGATCAGTTCTCGAAATCTAGCGAAGTGGTCAGTTCTTGCTATTAATATAACGTAGTGGTCAGTTCTAGCTAATAATTAGAGTAGTGGTTAGTTCTTGCTCGAAATATAGCGCAGTGGTCAGTTCTAGTTCGAAATTTGGCGTACTTCAAAATACAGCGTAGTGGTCAGTTCTAGCTCGAAACATAGCGAAGTGGTCAGTTCTAGCTCAAAATACAGAGCAGTGATCAGTTCCGAAATATAGCGAAGTGGTCAGTCCTAGCTCAAAATATAGAGCAATAACCAGTTGTCAAAATATAGCGAGGTGGTCAGTTCTAGCTCAAAACATAGCGTAGCGGTCAGTTTAAGCTCGAAATATAGCGTAGTGGTCAGTTTCTAGCTCGAAATATAGCGTAGTGATCATTTGTAGCTCTAAATATAGCGTAGTGGTCAGTTTTAGCTCGAAACATAGCGTAGTGGTCAATTCTAGCTCAAAATACAGGGCAGTGATAACTTTTCTCGAAATCTAGCGAAGTGGTCAGTTCTTGCTATTAATATAACGTAGTGGTCAGTTCTAGCTAAAAATTAGAGTAGTGGTCAGTTCTTGCTCGAAATATAGCGCAGTGGTCAGTTCTAGTTCGAAATATGGCGTACATCAAAATACAACATAGTGGTCAGTTTCTAACGTGTAGTACATACCATTCCCACATCCCATTGACATGTTGACACATAATGGAAATATTTTTTTAATTTATTCCACGGAAACATAGAAATGGTTGTTGACTGTGTTTGACTCTGTTCGATACCAAAAATACAAAGAAGTCGTTAATCACATTCCGACGAATTCTATCGATAACTGCCAATGTGTTGATTACACGTCCGAACGAAATTTAAAACGGTCCCTATCCTTTTAAATAGTGTAAGTAATCTCTATAGCCATATATTTACTCAATGGCCACGTGTATAATGCTACAGGTATGTACGTTAGTGAGGAAAACAGCAGAATCCCGCGTGGGAATCGCAATATCATCAAGGGTTATGTCAACACTGTATCCGAATCAATTTTATTCAGCTGCCAGATTACTTAACATAAGTCTACAAACGCTTTAAAATTAAATGAAAATTGTGTAAAATCTTGTTATTCATTTAAAGTGCGTTTAGTGTACGGGTAAATCTGTGTAACTTCCGGGTTATTTATCTTATTTCACTTCTGATTAGAGGACATTGGAGAAACCGATTACCCACAAAACATATTCCACAAAAGATAACCCTCAGATTTTAACCGTGGTCTTCGTCACCACTCAAGGAAAACCATAATAGAACGTAATTCTGAAGCGTATCAGAGTACTTATACGTGACAAGATTGTCTCGCATATTGTGGATGTTACTTAGCTAGTTTTAAATCATAATAAGAAAACCATGTAAGTGAAGCTAAAGCATACCAAAACTAAGTGGGAATCAGTCTATAATAAATACCCGTGAAATCTGACAGGTTTCCAGATATAATATCAATCTCGTTAGTGAGTACCTAGAAGTTTAGTCGTAGATATCCGTCCCAAATTTGACCATGTCCCCTCATTGCTAGGTTGGCGTTACTCTGTTTCTGACAGCAAGGATTAATGAAAATTGGAAAGAATGTAATGTAATGGGATTACTCTTTCATGAGGAATTAACTATTTTAAACGTGTTTTATAATCCTTTTAGAGAGGTTAAATTTATATTCAGCGTGTATGAGCCATGAAATAAATATTGTCTGGAGTAACAAAGAGTAGTTCCGTTTAAAAATGACAAAAAGTCCACGAGATTCTTACTTTTTAACAATTTTCCCTATCAACATCAACTAAAATTCTTACCTGGGCGCGGGGGATTAATATTTTGTACTTTTTTGGAAGAATTAGAGTAAATATAGCCATCATAAGTCCCCACAGACAGTATGGTAGAACTGAGTAGCTATGACCCCACAGACAGTACTGTAGATCTTAGTAGCTATGTGCCCACAGACAGTATGATAGAACTTAGGAGCTTTGTCCCCACAGACAGCATGGGAGAACTGAGTTGCTATTTCCCCACAGACAGTACTGTAGATCTTAGTAGCTATGTGCCCACAGACAGTATGGTCGAACTGAGTATCTATGTCCCCACAGATAGTACGGTAGAACTGCGTAGCTATGTCCCCACCGACAGTACGGTAGATTTAAGTAGCTATCTCCCCACAGACAGTATGGGAGATCTTAGGAGCTATATCCCCACAGACAGGATGGTAGATCTTAGTAGCTATGTGCCCACAGACAGTATGATAGATCTGAGTAGCTATATCCCCACAGACAGGACGGTAGATCTAAGTAGCTTTGTCCCCACAGACAGCATGGGAGAACTGAGTTGCTATGTCCGCACAGACAGTACGGTATAACTGAGTAGCTATGTCCCCCCAGACATTATGATAGAACTGAGTAGCTATTTCCCCACAGACAGTACTGTAGATCTTAGTAGCTATGTGCCCACAGACAGTATGGTCGAACTGAGTATCTATGTCCCCACAGATAGTACGGTAGAACTGAGGAGCTATGTCCCCACAGCCAGTATGGTAGATCTTAGTTGCTATGTCCCCACAGCCAGTATGGTAGATCTTAGTTGCTATGTCCCCACAGAAAGTATGGTAGAACTGAGAAGCTATGTCCCCAAAGACAGTACGGTAGATCATAGTAGCTATATCCCCACAGACAGGATGGTAGATCTTAGTAGCTATGTGCCCACAGACAGTATGGTCGAACTGAGTATCTATGTCCCCACAGAAAGTATGGTAGAACTGAGTCGCTATGTCCCCACAGAAAGTATGGTAGAACTGGGTAGCTATGTCCCCACCGACAGTACGGTAGATCTGAGTAGTTATGTCCCCACAGACAGGATGGTAGAACTGAGTCGCTATGTCCCCACAGCCAGTATGGTAGATCTTAGTAGCTATATCCCCACAGACAGCATGGTAGAACTGAGTTGCTATGTCCCCACAGACAGTACGGTAGATCTAAGTAGCTATGTCCCCACAGACAGTACGGTAGATCTAAGTAGCTATGTCCCCACAGAAAGTATGGTAGAACTGAGTAGCTATGTCCCCACAGACAGTATGGTAGATCTTAGTAGCTATGTCCCCACAGACAGTACGGTAGAACTTAGTAGCTATGTCCCCACAGACAGTATGGTAGATCTTAGTTGCTATGTCCCCACAGACAGTATGGTAGAACTTAGGAGCTATGTCCCCACAGACAGTATGGTAGATCTTAGTAGCTATGTCGCCACAGACAGTATGGTTGAACTGAGTAGCTATGTCCCCACAGACAGTACGGTAGATCTTAGGAGCTATGTCCCCACATACAGTATGATAGACCTTAGGAGCTATGTCCCCACAGACAGTACGGTAGAACTTAGGAGCTTTGTCCCCACAGACAGTATGATAGAACTTAGGAGCTATGTTCCCACAGACAGTACGGTAGAACTTAGGAGCTATGTCCCCACAGACAGTACTGTAGAACTGAGGAGCTATGACCCACATGTACAGACAGTATAGTTTTACAAGGCTATGTTATCAGATTATATCTAAGCCTGACACTGTGAACATTATACATATATACAGTGTTTGTACCGTTACAGGTATCGTAATCCAGAGGATTGAAATCGGGAACACTCCAGGACACGCGACAATTCTCCATGGACACGCCGGCGCTTCACCGTACCTGGACAAATATGGAAACTGATGTTATGACCCAAATCCTCAGCACGTAAACACGGCATTTTAACTGCCGCATGTACACTAAAATTTGTACGCAAGGTGTGCATCAGATATGTGAAGTTTGTTAACAGGTTAAAACGTGTGAACAAGTGCTCAAATGCGCATTCCTTAGCCATTAACTCGGGAGTGAACATATAGCTATCTATGTTTAAGCGGTGAAATTTTATCAGATGTGCCCGAGGATACTAGAAACTTTTATGTCTCAGCTTGGTAGCACGCCAGGGACGGTTTTTAAGTGAATTGATTATCTCAATGTTCTGAAAATGAAAGAACCTAAAATGTTGGCAGGGTCCATTTGTGACCATGGTAGGAGGCGTCATAAACGCGTGTCTTCTGCTAAAGGCAGGAGAGCGCCATCTACAGCCAAACCCGCACAAAGTGTTGCCAACACAAAGGGACCGCATGTGGTGCAAGTTGATGTCACGAGCCCACAAAAAGGCACGTCAGAAACAGAACAACAGGGTGCACCGGAATTCCATGGTGCTGACGAGGACAAATCTTTGACACATAACACAGACGTTCCAAATGACGATGGAGACGTCATTCAGGAAACTGTGAGTGAAATGGAAAACACTGATTTGGTAAGCTCCGAAACCAACGAGACCAAATCAGACATTCCCATGCAGAAACAACACATTGTGGTCAATATGAATATCCAGGACCTGGATGAGGGCCTGGAGGGGAGCCTGGAGGGGGGCCTGGAGGACGATGACGTGTTTGAAAGTGATATAAAGAACAGTCAAGATGAAAACAAATACAGAAAGCGTAAACCGTTGACGCGAGACCATAAGAAAGATAAAGATTTGAAGCCTATTAATGAGTGTGATGAAAGCGGCATCATTACAACAGAAAACGGTGATCAGGAAACGGAGAAAGCCGAGGAGGTCACAGCTACTACATACACGAATTATCAAGTCTCTCTTCCAGTAAATGGAGACGTTGAAACTAAATTAACTGTCGATATCGATAAAGTGAAGCGTCATACTATCAAAAGACCGAAATCCGAGAAATTTAGGAGACCAAAATCGTCAACTGTGTCTGATAAACAAAAGCGGCGACCTTTGTCTAGTATGGTATCCGGAAGACCGAGTTCTGCTTCCGGTGGAACCAGTCGATGTACGATAGTACCAACGCTACGTGTAACGAAGGCGGAGCTCGAGTACTACCTACCGAAACGGAGTTTTTTCAGTTGTCATGACAAAGCACTGAAAGACGCTGGTTATGGTACTGGTAAGACTCCTCGGCAAACAAGGATGATAGAGGCTTGGGCGAAACAAACGGAAAACAAGACTTTCGGAGAAAGAGTACCAACTCCTCAAGATATGGAAAATTCTTTGGACAGCGACAAACAGCATACAGCTGTAGAGGAACTTGGAGATGACGCAAAGCAGAGGCACCCAAGTGAGAGTTTGTCAGAGGCAGGGAGTAGAGAAAGCGTATCGTCGACTGTAGCACAGCTTCATGACCATAGGCTAAGCCGCCAAGTTTCTAATATTTCAATTCGCTCCAATGCATCTTTGACTCGGAAGTTGTCTCGACTATCGCGCAGGCGCGGTGATAACGAAGACGATGAAATAAGGGTTGACTTTCAGCCACTGTTGCAGTACCTTAAACATATTAGTGAGAACCCGGATGACTATGTGCATCAACACAAACAATGGAAAGCTGGAGTTCCGTCCCAAGATTCTCTAGTAAAATTGGGAAATATCTACCGTCGAGGCAGACACGGGCCGTCCTCAGACAGTACACTTGTGAATGCCGTGCATGACATCAACCCGAGATTTAGTGATCCCAGCCAATGGACGAATACAAACAAGGAAAAGACCTTACTGACTTTAACATCATCAAAAAGGGACTCCAGCCAATTTCTATCAAAGATTGAATTGCACGATTCTGGGACCAGCTCTGATGAACCAAAAAGCGAGTTTGATAAAATAAAACACAAAATGGAGGCGTGGCTTAAAACAGTTACTACGGCACAACTTGTGAAGGCCAAAGAACTTGCCCTTCGGGAGTTGGGCGAGGAGGACGCTTCACAGTCCCGCTGGTGGGTCTCGCTTAAATCTTGTTACTATTTAAGGTAGTGTGGTCATTAACGCTAATAGGTTTCGCTCAGGTCATATGACAGTCTGTGATATTGTATGACTTTTAACGCTTACTGGTCTCACTCAGGCCAGACTGTGATACTAAGTTATGTATGCATTATAGTGCTTATTATTAGACTTGCTCAAATCATGTGATTACTTATGATAATGTATGCCTTTTAACGCTGATTGGTCTTGTCCAGGTCATGTGCCTATGTGATAACGTATGACCATCAACACTAATCAGTCTTGTTGAGATTTTGTGGCAATGATAATACATGGCTACCATCGCTGATTGGTCACGCCCAACTCCTACATGTATATTGTATTTTATCACATACCTATGTAATCTTACAATAATAATACAACACTTTTCTGTTGATATTGTCTGTCGGTTTGTATCACACATATGGGATACAAGATGTTGTATCACCATATTAGCCGGAACTACTTTTTAGGTGAATTCCCTTGTCATTGCGAGCTGAAAAGTTCCCGGTATTTGCAAAAAAATATCAAAGTTTATAAAATCTTTGTATCGATCTCTACCAAATACGGAAGGTATGTGAGCAAGACCACACACTTGTGTTTTTTTAACGAATCATAAAGCACTCATTTATTGCGCGGACGAATATATTCACGAGTGCGCGGAAGAAAAACACAAGTGTGTGGTCTTGCATATGTATTCTGCTATATTAAGTATATACAAATGTCTACATACGGACTTTAATAAACCCAGAACGAGTAAACAATGTCTGGTCGTATTCATAGCTTGGTTTAGGTGGTTTTATTTAAACGTAAGACAATAGAGCCATGTAAGGACATGTATCACTACACGTACATCACGTCACAAACAGGTGAGTGGGTGTTACACCAGCAAGCACAACTAAAGGCAGAACCAAGGGCAACATATCCTCTTCATTAGTGGCGCACGTCATGATGCATCCCATCAAATCAAAGTCTTCTTCACTTGCGAAGTTTTGTTTCGAAATTTAAAGCAGCGAAGCCTAGTGGAGATAAATGGTACTAAGGCAGATAACCGCATTAGATGGTTGCTTTACAAGTATGACGAATAGGAACAGGAATCCGACACATTTCCGGATCTATGATTTTTATTGCGTTAACCTTAAGATACTAAGTACGCATATAGGGGGAAATAACAAAATCTTCTCAGACATGAAAACAGGCACATAATCAAGGTGATCTTGACATAGACTTTGATTGGCGTCCATAGATTTTAAGCGTTGTTGTTGCTGTGGTTACCTGTTTAATCTCTGGAGTTTCTCGTCATTTCCGTTACTGTTACTGTCATGGATCGGGATTTCCCGAAAGTTAAAATGTAAAATCCAAACAAGTATAACCGAATAAAAAAACAAAACATTATATTTATTTAATATTTCATGCTGCAAACTATATTTTATCAAACAGAGCAGAACTACCAATTTCAAATCGATAGTGTGAGAGGCGAACCTCAAAGCGCCACATTTGTTATAATCAGAAGCAGTGGCATAATGGTGATCTAGTTGTATCTGGACTGATCATAGTATTTCATTTTAACACGTATTAAGAATAAAATAAAATATTTTATAGAACTCTATCTAATCTCTAGGAAATTACTCAAATGCGCTTAACATTCAAGCGATAACAGACAATCTCCATAGCCAGGCGAGTGTTGCAAGAGCTTACTCAACCGGATCTTAACACCTTATACCATTTACTACATCATATATATTTGTGAGCCCATATCATTTTATACTCCACTCTAGGCAGGCCGAGTTGAGTATTATTAACCAAAATTAACTTTGTCACGTGAGCACTGACGCCGGAAGGTGTTACTTAATGTCGTGATTACGACACATTACCTCGTTATCATGAGTGAAATAATGACTTATTTATCTCGTTATCAAGAGTGAAATTACGACTCATTTATCTCGTTATTACAGGTGAAATTAAAACTTAGTTGTATCGTAATTACGAGTGAAACAACGATTAAGTTATCTTGTAATCACGAGTGAAACTACGACTTAGTTATCTCGTTATTACGAGTGAAATTACGACTTAGATATCTCGGTATTGCGAGTGAAACTACGACTTAGTTATCTCGTTATTACGAGTGAAACTACGACTTAGATATCTTGTTATCACGAGTGAAACTACGACTTAGTTATCTCGGTATTGCGAGTGAAACAACGACTTAGTTATCTCGTTATTACGAGTGACATTACGACTTAGATATCTTGTTATCACGAGTGAAACTACGACTAAGTTATCTCGTTATTACGAGTGAAACTACGACTTAGTTATCTCGGTATTGCGAGTGAAACAACGACTTATTTATCTCGTTATTACGAGTGACATTACGACTTAGATATCTTGTTATCACGAGTGAAACTACGACTAAGTTATCTCGTTATTACGAGTGAAACTACGACTTAGTTATCTCGGTATTGCGAGTGAAATAACGACACATTATCTCGTAATCATGAGTGAAATTACGCCCAGTTATCTCGTTATCACGAGTAAACTACGACTTAGTTATCTCGTTATTGCTAGTGAAACAACGACTTAGCTATCTCGATATTGCGAGTGAAATTACGACACATTATCTCGTAATCATGATTGAAATTACGATTTAGTTATCTCGTTATCACGAGTAAACTACGACACATTATCTCGTAATCATGAGTGAAATTACGACTTAGTTATCTCTTTATCATGAGTGAAATTACGACACATTATCTCGTAATCATGAGTGAAATTACGACTTAGTTATCTCGTTATCATGAGTGAAATTACGACACATTATCTCGTAATCGTGAGTGAAATTACAACTTAGTTATCTCGTTATCATGAGTCAAATTACGACACATTATCTCGTAATCATGAGTGAAATTACGACTTAGTTATCTCCTTATCACGAGTAAACTACTACTTAGTTATCTCGTTATTGCGAGTGAAATTACGACATATCATGTCGTTCTCAAGAGTGAAATTACGGCTTAGTTCTCTCGTTTTCACGAGTGAAATTATGACACATAACCTCGTTTTCACGAGTGAAATAATGACTTTTTTGTCTCGTTATCAAGAGTGAAACAACGACTCAGTTATCTCTTTTTCACGAGTGAAACAACGACTTAGTTATCTCGTTATTGCGAGCGTAATAACGACTCAGTTATCTCGTTATTACGAGTAAAATTACGGCTTAGTTATCTCGTTATCACGAGTGAAATTACGACTTATTTATTTCGTTATCACGAGTAAAATTATGACTTAGTTATCTCGTTGTTACGAGTGAAATTACGACTTAGTTATCCTGCCATTGCAAATGAAATTAAATTATCCCGTTATTACGAGATGTTATGCCCTAATTATTAACAAAAACATATTTCAAGTGACACAGACCAGCTTCCATACTGGGACCACAGTGTAGACCAGGTTATATCAACATACTGGGACCACAGTGTACACCAGGTTATATCAACATAGTGGGACCACAGTGTAGACCAGTTTAAATCAACATACTGGGAACACAGTGTAGACCAGGTTAAATCAACATACTGGGACCACATTGTAGCCCAGGTTAAATCAACATACTGGAACCACAGTGTAGACCAGGTAAATCAACATACTGGGACCACATTGTAGACCAGGTTAAATCAACATACTGGGAACACAGTGTAGACCAGGTTATATTAACATACTACAACGATTAAGTTATCTTGTAATCACGAGTGAAACTACGACTTAGTTATCTCGTTATTACGAGTGAAACTACGACTTAGTTATCTCGTTAGTACGAGTGAAACTCCGACTTAGTTATCTCGTTAGTACGAGTGAAACTCCGACTTAGTTATCTCGTTATTACGAGTGAAATGACGGCTTAGTTATCTCGTTATCACGAGTAAACTACGACACATTATCTCGTAATCATGATTGAAATTACGATTTAGTTATCTCGTTATCACGAGTAAACTACGACACATTATCTCGTAATCATGAGTGAAATTACGACTTAGTTATCTCGTTATTACGAGTGAAACTACGACTTAGTTATCTCGGTATTGCGAGTGAAACTACGACTTAGTTATCTCGGTATTGCGAGTGAAACTACGACTTAGTTATCTCGGTATTGCGAGTGAAACTACGACTTAGTTATCTCGTTAGTACGAGTGAAACTCCGACTTAGTTATCTCGTTATCATGAGTGAAATTACGACACATTATCTCGTAATCGTGAGTGAAATTACGACTTAGTTCTCCTGCCATTGCAAGTGAAATTAAATTATCCCGTTATTACGATATGTTATGCCCTAATTATTAACAAAATCATATTTCAAGTTACACAGACCAGCTTCCATATTGGGACCACAGTGTAGACCAGGTTATATTAACATACTGGGACCACAGTGTAGACAAGGAAAATCAACATACTGGGACCACATTGTAGACCAGGTTAAATCAACCTACTGGGACCACAGTGTAGACCAGGTTAAATCAACATACGAGATAGGATAAACTGTTGCAATACCTATGGAATCGCTCCGGTATTACCAGAACTACAAAGTAATGGTTTCGTACCATTTAATATAGGATTTTAACGCTTTGTGTAGGTCGCAATACAGTGGTTATATAAGCTAGCATTTTTGTATTGGAATTAACTGTTTTAAAAACCTTTATCATTTTCATGGTTATTACAGGATGTATGTGTCAGGCTAAAATTTGAATAAATGGGCTCTAGACTAGAAAGCGGTAACAGTGCCGTGTGAAGCCATGTGTATGGCTTAAGACCTGGCGACAATACAAACCATGCTGTTGAATCACGTATTGAACTGTCAAATCGATATTACACCCATCTTAATGTAGCGCGAAAATACGACCAATACAGGTAACTAATAATCAATAGCACGTCTTTGTCCACCGTTCTTAAAAAGAGAAGTTATGTGCAATTTTGAATTTTGTTCCTTTTCTGTTTTTAATCACCCGTACTACGATAATGACCAAAATAGAACCAATCTCATTTCTGTCTTCAAAGAACTGACAGAACTGGACAGGTCTGATTTACGACTGTAAACAGGTATGTCCTGGCGATAAAGTCCGGAGAACACAGGTGGACAGGCCTGACTTACGACTGTAAACAGGTATGTCCTGGCGATAAAGTCCGGAGAACACAGGTGAACAATGTGTTCTTCATTTTAAAAAAAAGAAAAATCCTACACCATGCAAACATGCTAGTCTGAAATGTAATCGGTGCACATTGACCTGTGGTGTTAACCTTTGATTGCCATATTGAAAACAGGTAAGTCAATATTCATATAGGAAACACACGTAGATTTGTCTTTTAAAGAAAGTGATCACCCCACTAACAGGTGAAACAGTTGAAATATCACTGGCGTAAATACTGTACGCAATGCACAACTGAACCGTTACAAGCGAGCAAACCTGAAATTATATTTAACCGCCCCGACCTGAATTTTAAAATCGTAAAGGTTAACACGACAGTCCATTCCTCGTGGGATCAACGCCATGTCGGGAATATTATATTTCCTGAAGAATATTAATCTGAATTATCGTTTTCCCTAAAACACCGGCAATAACACAATCTCCCAAAGACAAAAATAGAGTAATGCTTGGAATTATAACATAACCTGGGAGATGGCTGAATATAAGAGCCTACTCTTGTTGCCAGATCCCTAATATTACATTATGCAAAATTATATATTATGTAGAGCATATTTGTAAATAAAATATTGTTTAAACCAACTTTGTTTCTAACACACACACACACACACACACACACACACACACACCTACTACCCCTTACCGTTAAATTGATTTCGATTATCAATCCTCTCTTGTTTATTGAGCATCTATAAACGTTTGAAACAAAGGTCAATACTTTCTGTCGTTATCGCAGATGAAATCTTGATTTGAGGTAAGAGCGCCTGCTTACTTTCGCTTTCACAAATAGGCAGCTTACTCCCTACAGCTTACTCCCTACAGTCGGGACCACCAGCTTACTCCCTACAGCTTACTCCATACAGTCGGGACCACCAGCTTACTCCCTACAGCTTACTCCCTACAGTCGGGACCACCAGCTTACTCCCTACAGCTTACTCCCTACAGTCGGGACCACCAGCTTACTCCCTACAGCTTACTCCCTACAGTCGGGACCACCAGCTTACTCCCTACAGCTTACT